CTACTTTGGCCCAATGTGGTCAGTTAGAACACGGTGCTAGTGAATGAGGCTGAGGTTAGAGGTTCGATCCTCAAAAAGGAGAATTAGTTCCATTTGGAAATGACTCCATGACATTCAACCGTACCTGTAGCCTCTGTATGGTGTGAGTGAAATCTACGTCATGTAGACTAGGCTAGTTTTTCCCTTAAAAGTAAGAAAACTGTCCTTGAGATTTAGTTGGTTTAGAGAACTGAGGCTAGACCTGTTGACACAGTTTCCTGGCCATCTAAGGAAGTAGTAGATAGGGAGAGATTGAAGGTAAGTGAGAGAGTGGGAAAAATAGAGAGGCAATCTACTAGAGAAGATAGGATATAAAGGGATCACTAGTACATGTATAAGGGTTTGCCTTGAAAATGTAAAGGACCACCTCTTCCTGGGAGACAGGAGTGAAGGAGGAGATAGTGGCAGAAGGCATGTGAATGATTTAAATCGAGAAGGGAGAAGGAACTCTCATTGAATGGCCTCAGTTTTTTCAGTATAATATGAGGCATGTCTTACAATGGATTCTAGTTTCTAGCTGGCAACCCATCGGGTCATAAAGGGAAAAAAATAATATACTAGGCATAGAGCTCCCCTTACCATCAATGGAAAAACAAGTTAAAATGCATTTTATCTTCCTATTGAAATGTAAAAGACAGCCCACCATTATTATTATTGTTGCTTTTGTTGTTATTACAGGTAATCATATTCTCTTTTTCCATTATCCTGAGGGGGGGGAAGTTCTCCATAACCCTATTTGGCTTTTGCTCTCTATGTGTGCCAGCTATATGCTAGCATTCTTTCCTCTACATTTTTGGTGCGCTTTCCCCCTATAGCGTTTATGATTTTAAAGGTCATTTTTTTCAATGAGGCTTGGAGGTTTTTTTTTCTTTCTTTCTTTCTTTTGCTGGTGTTGCATATCTCTACTGCAAGTAATTATTAACAGTCATTTGAGGGGTAATGCGCTTCCTTAAGGGCATTTGCAGAATGCTTTTACAATGTTATTACTTTAATGAATAAATAAAATCAAATTATGTTCGGGTTTAATCTACATGGCTTGGGTACTTGTAGACACTCAGCCTCTAGCCTTGAGCCTCAAAATACACCTGAGGCATAAATGAATGAATCACATAAGTACAGCCTGTACTGGCTTAAATCTGTGTGCAGCCAGGGAAGTATGGAGGAATTGAGTGTGCCTTTTGTGAGGCGGTAAGCCAGACTGAATGGGGACCTCTGCTTTCTGAAGTATGTTTTGGGTTTATTTCATTTGCTCTGGGTTAGCCGCTGGTGGGTATCAGCCTTTGCTGTAATATAAGGGGTTTGAAGAAGGCCCTCCCCCCCCAAATGCTGTCCTAATACCTTTCACTATGATTAAAATTATACCTTACAGTGATAATAGTGATAGTTGGCCTCCAGACCCAGAAGCAGATCTGAAAGCCCCTTTATCTATTTTATAATTTTTTTTTTCCCTGGGGATAAGATTAAGGGAGGTGTTAGCACCAGTTGCCTGAAGCATCGTGGTCTAGAAATACCATTGATGGGCAAGAGAGAGGAATCATAGAACTGAGCTGTTCAGGAAAGGTTTTTGCAAGAAGGAAGTTGTAGGTGTGGACTAGGTGTGGTGGGATGGTGGTCTCCAAAAGGATGAATCACAGCCTTTCATTGAAGAAGCATGAGCGTAACTACCGTGGTACAAAGCATAATTCACCCTAACTCATCAGAATACATGGGAGGCAGGAGAAAAACAATTCGGTGTTAGTCCATGGCTCCCTTTTTATGTAGGGTTGGGAACATAAAGAAACACATATAACTTCTTAATAAAATATGTTTTCCTTTGCTGAAATCAGCTATTATGGTTTGCTTCAGTATTCTTTACTTACATATATAAGAGAAAGAGAGAGAGAGGAGAGAGAGAGAGAGAGAGAGAGAGAGAGAGAGAGAGAGAGAGAGAGAGAGAGAGAGACTTAAAGAGAATTAATTAATTTGAATGTTTGAATACCAGGCTATAATTTTTCAAATTGGGTGTCAATTTCTCATTCTTTAGAATGTCAAAACCTTTAAATGAATTCGTAGAGCAAAAATAATGCATTTTGTGTACAAAGAAGATAGAAAAACTTCCCACCTAGAAATTATAGCCTAAATCTGATGAGTCACTGGACTGAAATTTTAGAACACTGTTCATTTAGCATTACCTTCTCTCTATAACACAGAGAGGCTTTTTCACCTGAGGATCTTATATTTAGAGCTGAAAGGGATGTTTGAACTCTTCTGGTCCAACTTCTTGCTTTACAAATGAGGAAACTGAGTTCTAAAGAGGTAAAGTGATGGACCTGAGTTCGTATCAGTATTTTGCCCTTTTTGGAGGTCTTTGAGAAAAACTACAAGACCAATCACCATGTACATTATAAAAGGGATTCTTGTTACATTATGAATTGGACTAGATGGCCTCTGAAATCTCTTCCACCTTGAGATCTCTGATGCTGTGACCTTTTCCCAACCCATAAGTACAGGCATTCTCAGAAGTTTAGTCCTCAGCCCTCTGTTTTCCATATTTTTCCCCTTTAATGATCTCCTCCATCTCATAGCTTTGGATCTGTTTTCTATGTGCCTGATTTCTGAGTGTATATATTTAGATACTAAACTACTCACTTTCCCTTAAATATACCTTGTGTATCTTACCATTGCACTATTGCTCACTCTCTTTCCCCAAATCTCCACCAACTAATTGCCCATTCAAACCCACCCATATTTGAAGGACCAGCTCAAGCATCACTTTTCTCTAACTTCTTTCAAGTCTCAACTGAAGTACTACCTTCTTCTAATTTTTTTTCCCTAATCTTCCTTAATTTTAGTGCTTTCCCTCTGAGATCATGGCCAATATGCCATATACATTGGCCATGATCTCAGAGGGAAAGTATATATATGTCTCTCATTCATATGTATTTGTTTTCATGTTGTCTCCTCCATTAAACTGTGACTTCCTTGAAAACAAGGTCTGTTTGTTTGTTTTGTTATTCTTTTTCTCCATTCTTTGTATCCCCAGGTCTTGGCACAGTGCCTGATGGTTAGTGGGTATTTATGCTTGATGACTTTATTTGCCTTTGTCCTTGAAAACTTCTCTGACTATACCTTAACCATGGTAATTTCTTCCTTCTCCAATTCTCATGCCAGTACAGAATTGTCACATGCTGTTTTATATTGCTCTCTTTTCATATATGCATGTTTAGTGTGCTAAACTAGATTTCACGTTCCTTGAAGGTTGATCCCTTTTTCTGTCCCTATCACAGTGTCCCTACAGACATTCAGAGAAGATTTCTTGATTGTTTTGAGCCAGAATGATTACCTAGGGCTGTTGTCAGTTTTCTGACATGGCTCTCTACACTAAGTTCCAGGGAATATTTTTTTTTAACCAATGGCTAGAGAGAGATACTTGACTGCTTGATGTCCACTGTCCAGATCTAGAGACAGCAGTGTAGACTGGCAAACTTCAAAGAATGAAACAAAACTTCAAAAGTACCTGGAAGTGGGTGTGGGTGTACTGGTGCACCATACAGATGTTCTCTCTTGGGTGCAGAGCGCATTTGAGTTGCTACAGAAGTCTCATTGGCTCTTCAGGAATATGCTATTAAGTTGAATCATCTTTCTCCTTAGAAAGTAAGCTTTTCTAACTCAGAATTCGGCTGTAGACTAAGGGAGGATATAAAAAGACAAGGTCCCCTAGTTTTTTGGGGGCCCAAGATCAATGTTTTGCTCCTCTGTTTCTTATTCTAAGTACTAACAGTTTACTCTTGAATCAAAATGCAACATACATTTACTAAAGGTTCAGCCTATAAGTCTACTTCTCACTCCATCCTAATTGCCTTTTTGTGTATAGACCACTATGTAGGAGATACACAGTTTAACTAAGACATGGTCCTTGTCCTCATAAAGTTTAAAGGCTAGTAGGATTTAGGAAAATTATTATGATGTAGAGTTATGGGCTGTTGGGTGGGCTGATGAGGAAGTCTAATCCTGACAGACATTTACAACTCTTTCCATGCATTCCAGATAGTTGAGGATGTATGAAAAGGTCTCTCTGACAAAGGGCTAGGTCCACCTTGTGGGGTTGCTACATGATCTGGGAAAAACACTGGTTATGGTTAATGAGCCACAGGCTCAATAGATAGAAACAACTTCCTTGTAATCTGTCACCCTCAAAAATCTATTATTTCCTGGCACTGGATTTTTCAGGGCAATGTTGACACCAAGGATCTTTGATACTGCAGTGAATATGAGATATATAGCTCCTACTGTGTCCTGGGGATTGTGTTGATGTCCTGGGGGTATGATAGATACACGTGCCAAATGATAAAGTTCAACAAATTCTTCTCCCCACCCCAGCTTATTATATGATCTGTTTCTATTCTTTCTACCCTTGGCACAGAGGTGATGAATATGTGCATCTCTGCAACACTCCCATCTTTAATAGGGGTGTAGAAGTTCAAGAAGTTTGATCTCTACACCAAGTCAGAAGGCTTGCTATATGTATCAGCTTTGGCCATTCTGCTAGGACCTCATTGACAAATACTGCCTTGGAACCCTCTGCTGACTGCTGATGATTTCTTTCCACCTGGGGCTTGGCCCTTGACTCCTACATAACCCAGCTATAAACATTTGTCTCATCAGTGAGCAGCCAGACCCTTCCCCTGCACACTTCAACCCACCCACATGCCCCTGATTCCATATTTCCTCTTTCCTCTGGTGTTGGGAATTTTGGCCTGGACTAATGATCCTTCCATGTCCTGGGGCCACTGTCCATAACCTCAGCTGATCTACTTTTCCATCCCAGAAGCAGCAGCAGCAGCATATGTGTCTTTATTATCTCTCTATTTGTTGATCCCCATGGAAAATCTCATCTTTGTTACATCATCATCATCACCAGACAGCAGGCACCTATCACCTTCCTGCCTTTCATCCTCACCCTCATTTCCAGGACCACCTGCCCCATAGGTACCAGCCCTCCAGCTGTACCAGCAGGGTGTTGACACTCCTACCAAGAAATAAAGGACTTTTAGAACCTGGGAAATGGGAGAAGGGAAGGAGGGAAATGTAAGGAGGACCAGTATGAAATGAAGTTGGAAAAAGGAAGATTGGTACTAGATTATGGAAAACCATAAATGCCAGGTAAAGGAACTTTGAACTTTACAAATTACTCAGCAGGGAACCTTTTGAACAGAGGGGAACCATGACTAGATCCATGCACAGGAAAAATAATTCTGTTAATAATATGAAATATGATGTATATGCTCTGGCTCCTCTTCCAGAGCCATGCTGCTATGTCTGCCCTAAGGACTCCAGACAGCAACCCTGGGGGATTGAAGTATCTTTACTATCAGTTCAGACCCCTCCACTGGCTGAGTTCACCACACTGTTAAGGGTCTGTGACTTGCACCTCAGTTTCATTTAACATGGAAAATCTGGTAGATTTTTTTTTTACAAAGTAATATTTTCTTTAAATATATAGCAAGAATGAATGATCCTTATTACCTCTGAGTACATAATCTCTATTATATCACCTCAGTTTGTGTGTAGGGGGACAGGGTAGGGCTCACAGCTTAGCTCAGTTCCTACATAATATGCGCCCAATTCAATTCATGTCTAGATGTGGCATGACTGTTAGATGAGTCTGCCTGGCTAGGACCTTGCATATTAGGCCTAAAGATTGCTCCTAGTTCTGCAATGCATGGATGTTGTGCGGGTTGCAAAATCCCCCCCTGGACTCCAACTTCTGGCTTTCTATGGCTCATTCTCTGTACTAAGTGTTAGACACTTCATCTAGAATAGAAAAAAAAAAGGGGAAGGCAAAGGACTGAGGCTCATCTCCTAGGGGCCATATGGCCTTAGAAGAGAAAATGCCTTTAAGGCCTTTCCCTTTACCACATGGTCCCTCACCAGATCACAAAAAAGTGAGTTGCCCCCGATAAAAGTGAAGCAAAGAGGTAATAGATGAAGCTAAATGGACTTTGTGGATGTCTTTGAAGCCACAGAGGCCCCCTTCGCCATATGGTTAGCTGACTAGGTACTAGACTATCTATACATGCTTCACAGTTGGAAGCAAGCTCTCTACTATTGTCCACACAGAGAGAAAGGTTCCATCAGCCAAGCTAGCTGATTACAACCTGCACAAGTTCCAGACCCCCATTAAATATAGAACGGAGGCAAAAGTGCAAAGGAGAGAGGAGAGGTAGCAGGCTTCATAAAAATCTGGAGAGGTGACAATGATGGCCTGGAATCAGGTGATAACATGGGCATAGGGGCAGGGACAAATGTGATATTGTGTTGGCAGAACCAACAGTATTTGGCAACCTAACTGACATAAGAAATGGGAGAAAGGGAAGACTCAAGAACATGGAGGAGTAGGTGCCAGTGCCATTGACAGAAAGAATGAAGTGCTAAGGAGGTCTCTTCTTGGGATTTAGGCCTTTTGTTTCATGGAAGTCTGGCCTGAGTTGATGCAGAGCTTAATAGGTTCATGAGAGTTCCTGAAGCACTGTGTGAATGTTCTGTTATTATAACTAATTAAAAGAGAATTAATAAAATGCTGAATACTCCAGGAGTGTAGTATAGAAAAACACTCAATAAGTGTATGTATATGTGTACGGGTGGTGATGGTGGTGGTGAGAGGGAGTACCTAAAATCTGAAGGTTCTCTAAATAAAATGGAATGGGAACCTTCTTCCATCTATTAACCCCAGCCAGTTTCTTAAGAAGAAGACCCCAAGAAAGGTTTAACTCAAAAATTCTTAATCTAGGGTCCACCAAACCCTAAGGAATTCATGGATCAATTTCGGAGGTGTATGAACTTGGAAGGGGGAAAAAGTAGCTTATTTTCATTGATCTCTAACCGAAATACAGCATTTCCTTTCATTATTTTTTTTAAATATTATTCTCAGAAGGGGTTCATAGATTTCAGCAGACTTCCAAACATACCAGCAAAACAGCTAAGGACCCCAATTTAAAGTCTCAAAGCATTGCTTCTGATTTGCTTATTGTAACTTTCTTCTGCCAGCTGCCTTCTCTACCCATGCTTGTAGATCATTTAGTGGAAAGACAGCAACTTCCTGAGTGCTCTGGTGAAACCAGAACCAGCAAAGAAAGATCTAGACTATTGGCCACAGTATCATGAGAACTGGTGAGGATGGTGAAGTTGCACTGGTAGAATCAATTCTGAAGAGATTCCAGCAGCATTCGGATCCCATTGCACCTAAAGTAGAAGCAGAGGTTTGATAGGAGAGCTAGAGTTAATGAATTACTTAGGGGAAGGAGGAGGAGACCATCCCCAAAAGATAGTTCCCATGTCTCTTGATCAAATTCCATTTCAAAAACAAGGTTGGCTCCTTTAAATACAGTGAGCTGGAAACATTTGTTTCATGGAGGTCTGGCCTGTGTGGATGCAGAGCTTAATAGGTTCATTAGAGTTCTTTAAGCGTTGTGTGATCATTGTGTTATTATAATTAATTAAAAGAGAATTAATAAAATACTGAATATATTTTGATTGGGTGGCATGTCCAGGAGCATTTAATTATAAGATTATGTAATCCTTTGTTTCAGGAGATGGAAAATGTACTTAGTGGAGTTCATTCTAAGAACATTTTGGCTTTTTTTTTTTTCTGATCTAAGAAAATGCTTAGAGGAAACAGGTAACTCTTTATTGGAGAATGTGCTTGCCAGAACTGACAAAAGATATGACTGAATCCAGGAAGAAATACAGTGTTTGAAGACAAAAAGCAAGGTCTCAAGGCAACAAATATCTGACACCTAGCATGAAACCAATGATGCAAGGAATTAAGGAATTCTGAAGGAAATACGAATCAATCACATCAATCAGTCACATTGTGTTTCCCAAAGGACAGCAGGCCACAAGATAGGATTAACACAGGTAGTGATGTTTTTGTTTCAATTTTATAGGCTATTAGAGCTAGAAGAGAATATTGGGGAGCATCTCACTGAACTGCCTCATATTAGGCTATAAGGAATCTGTGCTTGGAAGGGCTGGAGGCGGGGGTAGTCTGCTGTGTATACACATAAGATAATAACTAACAATAACCAGTCAGTGAATGCCAAATGAGCAGTATGGACAGTATATACTATCATAGCATCACAAGATTTTTGAGATGGAAGGGACCTTTTGTTTTATCTGGTTCAAACCCCAGAAGATCTTTTGCAGCTGGGGAAGCAAGCTTCCTGGACAAAGCATTGGCCCTACCCTTAAGGAGCTCTTTAATTGGTTTGCTAATATTTCCATTCCATTGACTCTTAAAGGCCTTTGTTCTGCTTAGAAATTCCTGATTTTCTTCCATGAAAGTAGTCTAACCACAACAAACAAAGGGAAATAACAGATTATTAAATCCCGGGAGTAAGCAGCTGTGACAAGTGATAAATATCTTGGTTTATGTAAGCCACTTGGTAAATAAACACTATATTAAAAGACAGAGAACAGTTACCAACAGGAGGGGGAAAAAATCATTGTGCAGTCCTGTGGTGTGGTGCAGGGGTTAACGCAGGGCTCTCTCAAATTTGATTATTGTCTCATAAGAATTCACTTGGGGTTATGTTATGTTTGTATGGAGATTGTGTGGCTAGTACCAAAGTTAATTCACTGTGGGTTGGTTGAAAAGTGGAATGTTGGGGCAGCTAGTTGGTGCAGTGGATAGAGTACTGGCCCTGAAGTCAGGAGGACCTGAGTTCAAATCCAGCCTCGGATCAAACACTTGACACTTCCTAGCTGTGTGACCCTGGGCAAGTCCCTTAACCCTAATTGCCTAAAAGCAAAAAAAAAAAAGTAGAATATTACTTCATTCATATTGCTAACAGAGTCATTATATTAGATCAAAGAGTGGAGCATATACCTAGGACTATTATGGGTTAATGGGAATTATGTTCAACTAGGTGGAGCAATGGGTAAAACACTAGGTTGGGAACCAGGAAAGCTCATCTTCCTGAGTTCAAATCTGGCCTCAGACACTTACTAGCTGTGTGACCTTGGGCAAGTCACTTAACCCTGTTTGCCTCAGTCCCTCAAGTACAAAATGAGCTAAAAAAGGAAATTGCAAACCACTCCAGCATCTTTGCCAAGAAAACCCCAAATGGGGTCACAGAGAATTGGACATGACTGAACAGCAACAAAGGTTCACCGAAAGGTCCCATACCCACTTAGTCTAACCCAGATGAATTAGAACAATTTGGAAGGATTAGAAATTAGAAGATATTTCCAGGCTAGACAAAGAATAAGTCATGGAGACAAACTTCATCAGGTAAAAACCTGATGAAACGATACTGGAGAGTTTAAACACTTAATGCAAACACTTAGCAATCTAACTCCACAAACCACATAACATATAAAGCCCAAGGAGGCCAAACACCCTCTAAAACACGTGCTTCAGTGTTGAAAGTTCCCATAGCAGTAACTCTACCTGAGGAGGCCAAACCTGGGAAACATCTGTTCAGCTGTGGAAGGAGAGGAGACCAAAAAGTGAAAGGGGAAATCAGAGACAAGTGGCATGAAATACAAGATGAAGAACAAAAGACCAAAACTCTAAGGGAGAAACCCTGGGTGAAAATCCTGCTCATAAGCTTATAAACCAAACAAATGCATGAGGAAAAATGACTAAAAATAAAAAGAATGAACAAATACATTATAAAGGAAAATAAACCAACATGCTCTGATATAAAGAGAATCTTGTTTATTCTACAGAAATCATGCAACAATGGCAAGGAGATACAAAATGGTTCAAAAGAGAAATAAAACCTCGAAAATAAATTGTTGAAAGAAATTAGAACTCAGAGATCTCAATGAAGATTTAGAAAAACAAAGAATAGGATAGAAAAAAATATATATATATTATAGAAAATCTCTCCAAAGAACAGATTCTGGAAGAGAGAATGACAGTTATGGAACCAAAAATAGAGAAATAGGAGAAAATTTAGCAGAAGACAAGTGAAAAACAACAACTTAAAACACATAGGAATTATTTTTTATTGTTATTTTTATTACTGTCTTTCAAAATCATATTTATTTCTTAATATATCAGTAATCTCTCCTGACAGCAAGTAATACCTTGTAACAAAGATTTTTAAAAGAAATTAAGAAAACATAACCCACACAGCAGCAATGTCTGAGAGAATATGTAGCATTCCAACTTCATAGTCCTCAATTTTTGCCTTGAAGGAACAGAGGCATACTAAAAAATTCTCTGGATCCAAGTGTGGACATGACAACTACAAAACTGTCATCCTTTTTTTGTTCGTGTTGCAACTTATTCTTTTCAATTATATTGTTTTTGTCATGTTTGTCAATAGCTATTATTCACATGTATTCATATTAATTCCCTCTATATCTTGAATATCAGATGCTTATCGTAGAGATTTGGTACAATTATTTTCATTTCCCTTTTTATTCAAACTGTATTGGTTTTATTTCTGCTCAGTCTTTTCAATTATAGGTGTTGGAAATGATCTATTTAGCTTTTTTAACTTACTCTATCCTTTGCTTGATTAGTACCTAACCTAGTACTCTTCCATATTTTTTTTTTTGTAGTGTGACCTTCACATACTCACTTTGAACTCAAAGTGTTAAATGGTGTTACATACTTGTCTAAAGAAAATATTTGCCAAATTGCTTCCTGGTTTTACCAGCAGTTACTATAATGTAGCTATTTTTCCAAAGCAATTTGTATTCTTAGATTTATCAAATATTATATTGTTGAATTTGATTATTTGTAATTCTTATTTATCTAGTATGTTCTACTAATCTTCTTTTTTAGGAGAACTAAATAGCTTTGATGAATATTGCTATATAATTTGAAGTATGGAAGTGTCATCCCACTTTCATTCATATTTTTTCAATTTTTCCTGAAGATTCCATTAATTATCCAAGTGAATTTTGTTATTATTTTGTCTAGCTCTATAAAATGATATAATTCATTGATTTTATGATTTATAGAGCACTAAATCTATAAATTGATTTAGGCAGTACAATTATTTACATTATGTTAGTACTGCCCATACTGAATGAATTTTATACTCATCAAACTATCTGACCTTAAAAACAGAATGCACAGGGGTAACCTAAGGATGACAGGTCTCCCAGAAAAAGAAATAAAATAAAACATCCTACCTTAAAATCCCTGAATTCCAAAGGAATGTACAGAAAGCAAATACTATACTGAACTGCCCTGAACTTTTAAAAACAGACAACAAAGTGGTAGATCCAATCCATAGTTCACTGCCAGAGCAAAACCTTATATTTAAAACTCTGGTAGTAGTTAAATGACACGATTTTAGTAACAATCAAACAACAAATTTTGCAAGCATCCAAAAGAAAGACCATCAGTTTTGAAGCAACATTAATTTGAATAACCTAGGATTATTCTGCAGTTATAACAAATTGGAGAAGAAAGTGGAATAGTATATTGCCCAAAGCAAAGGAGGTTAAGCTCCAATCCAAAGTAATGTATTCTACAAAGATAAACCTAACTTACACATTAGGAGTCTACTTTCTCAAAAATGCTATGTTCATCTGTATGAACTAGGAGCATATGTTATCTCAGAAAATAGGGCTGTATGAATCCCCAAGGACAGTCAGTATATATGGTGATGATTATAGAAATAGAGATAAGTAACTTGGCCTCAGTAGTCTTGAGTGATTGCGGTGAGGGCAAAGGACTAGGACCAGGCTGTACAAGTAGCAACAAAAAAGCATCTCTTATCACATAACTTCCATTTGACATAGATCCTTTCATGAACTGACATTTCTAAAACTGAGTTATAATAGAAAAAAATGAAGAAGTAGCTAGGTCTACGAAAGAAATAATAACAAAGGTAGCATAAAAGAGGGGATTCAAGTTTGGTCTTCTAGCAACTCTACCCTCATGAGAAATAGAGATAAGTAAGAAGGAACAAGTAAGTTCCCTTCCAGCTAAAAAACAAACAAACAAACAAACAAAAACCTTGTAATTTTATGATAGTGCATACTGTTCATACTGCTCATTCAGTAGTTACTACCTGCTTCTTGTTAATTTTTGTCTTAAGCATGTACACCACAGACTACCCTCACGTCTCTCTCCCAAGCACAGATGCCTTACAGCCTAATGAGGAGCAACTCAATAATTTGGTGGAGATTAGAACTGAGAATAGATTAAAGGAGGAGAACTACAGAAATTATTTAAGAAAGAAATTATGTGATCTTAGATTTGGAGCTGGAAGTCACCTTGAGGCCATTGATCCCAATTTGTCCATTATATACATGAAAGCATAGAGATGTTAAGTCTTGCCTGGGTCATATAGCCAGTGTATATTTCAATCAGGATTTCAATTAAGATTTTCTTGACTTTACATCCAAATGAACTATTCACTGTGTCACCTAACTGTCCCTAGATTTCCAAGGAGAAGAGTCAAAGGAAATGAAGAGAAAGAAATGAAAGAGAAATGAAATTAACAAATTAAGTAAATTAAAGTAACTTCAGATGGTGGGAATCTATGGGAACAAAGAAAAATAACTAATCATAATTTATTCTTCATAGGATTTTGAACCAAATTTTGTACCTCAGAAGTCATGTAATTTACAGATGAGAAAACTGAGGTGAGGTGGCTTCATTATACAGGTAACAGATAGGATTCAAATTTAGCGCCATCAACTCCAGATTCTGTGCTCTTTCCAAAGCACCGTGTGTCTATCCATTTTACACATAAGGAAATAGATGTCCAGTGTGGAAAAGTTACATTTCCAAGGTTACATAAAGAATAAATAGCAGAACAGATTCTCCGACTCCAGAGCTAGGTTTTTTCCCTACTATAGCACGGCTTTATCTGTTTGAAATTTATATGCTTTTGTGAACATGAATATCAACCAACTTTTCAAATAGGTTCTAATTGTGGTAGCTCATAGACATTTTGTATAGTCCTTCCCTTAGCCCAGGTGAGATGAGTAAGAAAACAAATGAAATTCATATCTTTTAGCATTTACTTGGTTAAATTGCTACTCAAGACTAGTACCAGAGGGCAAGACTGTAAGTATCACTCACTAAGAATGTTTTTCTTACGCTTCTACAGAAGAAAGGAGATAATTTTACTTCATTCTAAACTACTGGGTGTAAAAATCTGAGCCGGCTAGCTCCACAGTCAGGAAGACCTGGGTCTGAGTCCAAAGTGGACATGTATTGATTGTGTGACCCTGGACAAGTTGCTTAACCAACTCTTGGTGTCCCCAGGGAATTCTCTAAGGCTATGAGGGGCAGAATTACATTGATAGAAGAAGTTCCTCATGTGGAGCTTAATTTGGCTTTAGAAGGTTAAAATGATCATGGTGAGGGCAGTAGGGTCATGAGACTGGGCCTCATAACATGGAGCAAATCTCATCACATGACACTACTTCCATTTGATGTAGCTTCTTTCATGAGCTGATGTTTCTGAGAGTACACCATAATGGAAGAAATAGAGGTGAAAGTAAAATCTATAAATGGAATAATGTAAACAGAGGATCGAGAAAGTGGTTCAAAAGTAAAAAAACAAACAAACAAATGTCTGTTTAAAAATCCCAAAACATAAGTGACTATCTTAGAGACAGCATTTGCCTAAATGAAGTCTACCTAAACTCTGGCCTCTTTGTGACTTGATATAGGAGATCTGAAAAGTCTTAGTGCAACCCTCAGCTTAAAAACTTATGGAAGTTAGGGATACAGAGTAGTTTCCAGCTATATACAAACCATATCCCTTTAGTTTCACCTTTCTTGCAGAGGATTCTGGCTCCTTCGGATGCCTTTCAAATCCTCTATGAGTTTACATTTACACACAAACTAAGTTGGCACCTTAACAGATGCTATTTTGGTCTTAGAAAGAGAAGCTGATAAATTTCCTGTTGAGAATAACCCATAACAAAATACAGCCCCAAATATCAGCCAAATGCAGCTCTGAGTAATGCCTGAAAATGAGAAGGCCAAAAGGAAGGAAACTTCAACAGGTTTTGATGTCCAAGTCTGACTCATGAGCTCGTTGGGATGGTAGGAGTCTCAAATAGTATCCACTCCTGTTTTGCAATGAGTTAAAAGCTGTCTTGTTTTGTGAGTTTGTGGGGGATGGAGATTGGAATTCCATTAAAAATAAATAGGATCTCGGCCTTCCCTCACCACCCCCCTCACCTCATCAAGAAATATAATGAATAGGCAGTGCTTTTACGCTTCAGCCTCCTGACTGAACTAGGCCACTTAAAGCCAAAAAAATTGGAAATGTCTTAACATGCATTAATTGCTTAATAGTTGTGTTGTCTGTCTGAAAAGGGTGGGGCAGGATTTAAGTTGCTTTAATGACTTTAAATTTTCCCATGGTAAAATATTTGTGATTTGGTTATGCTATAATTAAAGTCTTATATAAACAAAGCATTTGGAAACAAATTAACTAGTTTCCTTGGGAGAGAGATTTCTGGTAAGCTTGGGCCAGAATGTTTCTTCCCTCTCAGGAGGAAGCCATTGCTACTCATCCTCCTCCCCACCATAGCAACTTTTGACCCTCTCCTCTGCCTCTTTAGAGCTCCCCTAGTCTGCCCCTACACTTTGCCTTTGTTATAACAGTAAATATATGCATATACATATACACACATACACAATACAAATACATATACATGTGCACATACACACATGCATATAATCTTACATAATGTACTATATATTTATATGCATGTATATCTGTATCTGTATGCACACACACAAATGTAACCAGAGCTGAGATTTCACTCTGGAAACTCCAGAAGATGAGGAAACTCCCGTTACCAGTGCATATTAGCACCTGCTCTGTAGCTAACTTTTTAATCTTATTCTTAAGCTTAGGGAATATTTTAGGCACCCCAAGAGATTCAATGAGTTTACTCAGAGTCACTCAGCTTTTAAGTGGCAGAGATAAAGTATGAACCGAGGTTTTCTGATTCCAAAGCCATCTTTCCATCCACTAACATACCCTACCACATGTTTAAATGCTTTTCAAAAAAAATGAACAAATGATTTGAGGATGATTTCAAAACATTCTAAACTTTAAAGAGAAAGTATGGACACATTGAACATAGGACGGTATGGACTCTTTGAATCAACAACACTTACTTTTAAGAAAAAGCCAAGTAGAAGAGCAAGATCTGGCTTGCAAAACCAGCTGATCAAATATTTATTGCTGCCTCAGAAAGAACCTTTGAACCCATGCAGTCATGCCCTAGCCTAAAACTTGTTTCCTTCAGGAGGATGTTGCAGACATTTGAGGTTTTCCCCTAAACTGATTCTACTGCTCCACCCCAGTGAAAAGTGTATCTTTGGAGGAATGTGTCATGTAGGCAGACACCACCACCACTGGATTTTGGAATCTTTGCACCGGGGTGAAACCCCAACCTGATAGTTACTTCCTGAGTGACCTTGAACAAGTCATTTCTCAGTTTCTTCATCTGTAAAATGAGAGAGTTTGGACTAGTAACTAGTTCACCTCTAGGGTTCCTTCTAGCTCTAAATCCTTGATTATGTGACTCCACACCCTTCAAGAAAGACTTCAAGAGACATCAGTGGTTTGGTATGTTTTTCAGAAGATCATAAAAAAAAATTTAAATTGGAAGATATCAGTAGAAAAAAATCAACTCCTTGAAGTTCAAGGCTCTTCTATGTCCTTAATGGCCAATCACAGGGCCTGACATATACCCAGCAATTAATAGATATTTGTTGAATTGAATGGAATTACTTGCTTACTTTATCAATGACTGAAAAAGAGTAAATGACTTACTGAAGAGAGCAGTTAATTAAAATTGATCTTTTAAAAATTGTTTAAGGGAACAATATGGCATTTTTCTAGTTTTTGGCATTTTCCACTTTGTCATGTTCTGGGATGAGCTTATTAATCATGTTTGTTTGTCCTTGGGAAAGCAACCACCTATTTTTTAAATGGAAAATACCAACTTAAAATTTCTTTTCTTCAAGACTTTTCCTAGTATAATCTCAATTTCTCATTTGAACCTCTTCACCTTTGATGCTTCTTTGATTAGATTCTGAGATCTCTTCTTTGGCCCATAGACATTTCCCCCCTTATTCTAGATCAAGCCTTTTAAACAACAACAACAACCACAACAACAACAGTATCACATAATTGAATGCAAGAGGCAATTAGAAAATTATTCTAGGGTACTGAGAAGAGTGATATCAATAATACTACAATAGCTTAGGTGGTCAGTATTCTTATTCTGAGAGTTGACACTAGGGAGAAAATTCTGTAATTGCCTTCCATGATATATTAGCTTCAGAAGTTAGAGATGCTTCCATAAGGCTTTCAACTTTCATTTATGATCATAGCAACCGAGTTTGAAGAGATATTGGAGGACATCTAGGAAGCCCCTATTTGAAGGGAAGTCTTTTCTACAGCATAGTAGAAGACTGTGAGCTGGTTATAGCAGTTTCTGTGTCTGGTACAAGATTTGCTTTAGGAGCTCAAAGACAAATCTGCATAGCTTACCAGGTCTATAGGTCCTGGGAAAATAACAGAGACCTTATAATCTACAGCACAGAGGTACTCTGGGTTGCTAGAAGGTCCCTATGCTGGGGTGAAATGAAATAACTCTCTCTAGGGGGCCTAAGACCATTCTGACTCCTTAATGCTTTCAAACTCTGAAAGTTGGGCTGAAGGACAGGAGGTTTCAAAAAAGGCTTATCTAATAGCCATGTGAATTCTCTTTATTGGCAGCAATGTCCTCATTCCTATCCCATGAATATTACTACTAATGATTGGTTGCCACCTTGACATTGCATTTTCTCATCTTGGGATGAGAAGGAAAGAATGAAGTCCCTGAACCAATCTCATCTAAGAAGTGAGTATCTAAGAAATGGGGGGAAGTAAGGCTCAAAAAAGATCATTTATGTGATGTACTTCCCAAACTTTGAAATGTTATATACATTGTTACTATTATTATTATTATTATTATTATTGTTATTATTATTATTGTTATTACTAGAATAATGGGGGGGTGGAGATGACTTAGCTTATCAACTGAGTTATGAGATCAACCTAGTAGAGGCCTTGAGGAAAGGGGTGATAGAAATGAGAGGATAAAGGAAGAGAATCAAAAGGAGGAAGGATTTGAGGGAAAAGTATAGGATTTAGGACCCAAATTTACAAATGAAGTATTCTAGACACTGGGGGTTAGGGCAGAGGAAAATTGGAAGGATGACAGTAATGGGATATTTAGGAGGAGGGAAAGGAGGAGGTAGTTAGCCTGGTAGAATGAAAGATCCTTGAGGGCAGGGACTGTCATTTTTATCTTTGTATCTCAGGCACCCAGCACAGTGCCTAACACAAAGTAAGGATTAAAAAAAAAAAAATTCTTGTTAATTGAATGAGGAGTCTAGGGAGAAGAGATTGGGTAGAAAAGAGGCATGTAGCACAGTGACTGACACAAAGTTGAGGTTAATAAATGCTTAATTGATTGAGGAAAGAATCCAGGGAGAGGAAAGTAAAGGAATTTGGAAGAGAGATTGAGCTCTAGTCCTAATAGAGGTAGAGGGATGATGGCAGTAGGAATTCTATTTCCCTGCTCAGGGACTGATCCCAAAGAGCAGGCAAGGGATAAGTAAAGGAACAAAGGGAGAAGTGGCAATTACCTGGAACACAATCTGCCCCCAGGAGTTTTATATCTTCTTTTACCATTGACCTCCCTTACTTTTTACCTCAGCTCCACCATTACAACTTCCTCCCTCCACTGACCAATTTGAATCAGATGTTCTTAATCTGGAATCCATGAACTTGTTTATTTAGCATTTCAATAATTATATATCAGTATAATGAGATTCCTATGTAATCACATATTCTATTTTATGCTTGGAAAACGTTCTAAGAAGGGGTCCATAAGTTTCATCAGACTGCCAAAGGAAGCCATGACGCAGCAAAAGGGTAAGAATCTGGACTAAATCTCTAATCTAGACTAATCTCTCTACTAAAATCTATGGTTTATTGGAGCTGTTTCCTTAAGTTCTAAAAGTGAGAGAGAGAAATATATTCCAAGTGCCCCAAACTTCCCAATGAATTAGATAATTGATTGAATTGATATCCCTAAGCTACCAAATATTGGTTTTCTCTCTAAACTGAATAAAAGATGTTGAAGGACTGGGACTATTTCTTCCAAGTCAAGTTAAACTAAGTCAATAAACATTTCTTAAGTATTTACTATGTATCACGATAGTAAGTGGGGATACAAAGAAAAGCCCAAACACTGTGCCTTTAAGAAGCTCCCAGTCTAACAGGAGAGAATATAGGAACAAGTAAATGCCAACAAGATACAAACAGGATAAATTGGAAGTAATATCAGAAGAAAGGCACTAGATTTAAGAGGAAATGGGGAAAGGCTATTGCTTACATTTCTTTGAATCCTCACAATAGCCTCTGGCTCATAGAACTTTAGAGCTGAAAGGGATGAGACCAGCTACCACTGTGCTTTGCAAATTAGTAGCCAGTTAATAAATGTTTGTTGAATTGAATCTTATCCAACCCCTCCTCCAGCCCCCCTTAAACTACCAATGAGAACCTGAAACCAGGGAGGTTAAGTGACTTACTGTTAGTGGCTTAACATATCTATTTAGAGGATACAGAATAGTTTCCAGCTATACTCAATCAGTATTTATATAATTTCATCTTTTCTGCAGAGCAGTGGTTCCCATTGAGTGGTCCATGAACCCCACAAGGGTTTGTGATGATGCTCCAAAGAGTTTGTGATAAAAATTCTCTTATGATATCATGAGCAATAAATAATTACAGAATATTACAAGTGGTATATTAAATTACCTTGTAGTGCACAATACTTTTTTCTTTCTTTTTTTGGTTGAAAGGCATTCATGGAACAAAAAAAAGTTGGGACCACTGCTATAGAGGAATCTGGGATCCCATTCAACTTTTCAAATTTCGCATGCTTTTCTGTATAAATGAAAATGGCAATTTGGAAGATATTATTTGGGTACCTCCTTTGGTTTTAGAATTCTTGGACACATATGGTGCTGGAATCTGTCACTTCTAACCAGTCTCATGGGCTATTGTATGAGCCTTTATTTACCTGACCAGTCACTGTCCTCATTACTCACTTGTATATGAGTTCAACCATTGAGCTTCACAATATTTCAACTCTTTGGTTACTTGTGTGAGCCAAGCTGCATCCATTGGCTCCACACGTCCTGTTTCTTTGATTATTAGTCTTTGAAATATCTTTCCAATAGTGATCAGTTTTGGAGACCTTTTCTACCTCCTATTAAAGGGTAGCTTTCCATAACTGCTAGAGTTTCATGGCTTCAGTAAGTCAAAATGAGTTTACCCAATGCCTGGCATATAATAGCTTCTTAACTATCAGTTGATTGACTGACTAATCCTTAGTTTCCTTCAAGACTCACCTCAAATCCTGCCTTCTGCAGGATGTCTTTCTTGATCCCTCTTCTCCCCCATCCACCCTGATCCCCAATTTCCCCCTAACCTCCTCTTCTTCACACATCCCTAGGTTCACCTGGTTTGCCTCCTCTCTCCCTGCCTCTACTAGTGCCTTTCCTCTGAAATTATCTTCCATTTGCACTGAATTTATCTTTTTTTTTCTTTTTTGGTGAGGCAATTGGGGTAGTGATTTGCCCAGGGTCACACAGCTAGTAAGTGTCAAGTGTCTGAGGCCAGATTTAAACTCAGAACCTCTTGAGAATATATCTTTGATATACATTTATTGCATATTATCTCTCTCATTAGAATATAATAATAAATACCAGCTACTGTTTATATAGCATTTCCTATGTGCCAGGCACTGTGCTAAATGTTTTACCATTATTATCTCACTTGATCTTTATTACAATTCTGGGAGGTAAATGTTATTATTATCCCCATTTTATAGATGAGGAAACTGAGGCAAATGGAGATTTAAGTGGCTGCAAGCTAGTCTGGGATTTGAACTCAAATTTGAACTCAGTTCTCCCTGGCTCCAGGTCTGGCACGCTATCCACTGCACTACCTACCTGCCCTTCACATAGGGGCAGAGGGCAGGGAAAATGTTTTTGACTTGATTTCTTTCCTTAGCATTTAGCATAGTGCCTGACACATTAGTAAGTGCTTAATAAATGCTTATTAACTGACTAATCACTAACAATGTTACTATTAGGACACTGGTTTCTGGGGAAAATGCTGTTAGGCCTAGGTCCCTGGATGCCTGGAGAATTAGTATTGGGTCAAGAGAGGAGGAGTCATCTGTCTTTCCCTTCAATAGGCCTTTTATATTATCCTTAGCTCATTCTGCTTTCATCATAGGAACATTAAACTCATTCATCAACCCTTATTCAACAGTGACAGGTTTAGTAACCATTGTCTAAGCACCACACTTAGCAATGATCTCTCTGGGGATCTGGAGTGCCTCAAAACTTTTGATAGCTGACCCAGCATGGCAATTACATCATTTTTCTTTTCCATTTACCTTGTCCAGAGTCTTTGCCTGTTAGAGGGCAAAATTTTCTGAATGTTGTCATTATAAGTCAGTAGGGATCCTTCAAACAAATAGTGCTTGTTGAAGCTCAAATCCCATCATTGAAAATCAGTTCCTCAGTTATCAGGTACCCATGTTGCCTTTTTATGAATGTACCATTCAACAAAATATATATAGTACAACACTCTAGAAAATGTAGGGTAAAATTTTATCAGAATTAGGCGGCTAGAGTGAGACTTAGAATGGATTTCAGAAGCTATCTAGTCTACTTCATTCATTTTACAGGTGAAGAAACAGAGGTCTGTGGAAATTAAATTCACATAGAGGGTAATCATCGGAGGTGGGTTTGAACTAGACACACATATGTGTTTGTTCCTTAATTTGCCAAAGTTAATAATAGAGAATGCACTAATTGGGCGAAAGTGGGAAACTAAAGCTTGCTGTCAAATTAAAATCTAGGATTGAAGCTGAAAGAAAAAAGAGTGCTCAAAAAATTCCTGCTGGTAGCATTGGCTAGACCCAACAACAGCCAATCCCGGATGCATTTCCATAGATATGCAACATATACTTTCTTCACTCTAGTTGTCCCATTTGTGTTATCTTCTTTGCACATGACCTGATCCCAAAGGAAGACCCATAGAAATATAATAGGTATATTATGCACAGAAGTGTACTGGTAAATGTGTAACACCCAGCTCTCTGAAAAAATAATGGAGGACACACTTTTAAGTTTAGTCTGCACGATTAATATTTTATCCATTATTTTCTTGAGTCTAGAAATCAACAAAACAATAAACTAAACCCTGATTTGTTTGGTTGATTTCTGAAGTATAAATTATCATGCTGAAAATTTAACAATCATCCCTCAACAGAGCCAGAGACAGTCTGCACTGTCAGCCTACTCCTGGCACTTCTCTCTATTCCGGGATCTTTCTTCAGGTGGCAGGAGCAGTGTAGGGAAGAGACAAAATATGTTTAATTTGAGTTTCTATCCTCTGCACATAGAGGAGGCAAATCACCAGAAATAGAACAATGACATATGATCAGTCTTGTGGTGGGAGAGACAGAGAGTGAGATAATAACTCACTCTCTGAAGTCATCTCCCCAGAGAGCTGCCACGTACCACTTTGGGCACACCTCTTTAGGCTATTCGTTGTGTCCTATGCTGCACTTCTGAGGATCACTGAGAGAAGGACACATTTTATTTCTTCTGGATCAGCTCTTTCCAGGCTCTACCTCCTCCAGTGGCAATAACAGCTAGCTCTGTCTCCTAACCCTCAGATGCTTCAGGTCCTCCTCTGCCTCTGTCAATGAGAGCTAGCCTCACCCCCTCAGCTACCCCTCTTTCCTGAAGCCCTCCCATGTGGTCACCTCAGGGTCTTTCACTGGGGGCTAGAGGAACTTTCGTGTGCTTTTTTCTTTCGTTTGCTTCAGGTGGGTGCTCTTTGTCTGACTTTAGTACTCCCAGACCATATGTAGAAAGTATGTATACGTGTGGGGCTGGGGAGACTAGGGGAGGATGTTGTTGCTTGTTTAGAATTTGCTCTTTCAAGGTCAGCCCAGGGGCAAGGGCCAAGTCCCAAGAAAAGCATATGCCAGTGACCCTCCCTGGCCTAGTGTGTCAGAGTACATGAGAACAGGAGCAACCAGTACTGCGGAGTTTGGCCTGGGCAAAGATCTCTTCCAGAAAAACTAGGCTTCCATGAGTGCAAGATAATGGAAGTGTGTGAAAGGAAGTTTCTTAATGATCAAATATGGGTACAAGCCATGTGTCCCAAGAGGGTGAAGAAAAGATGATATTTACTAAAATATTCATAGCAGCATTTTTTTTTTTGTGGAAGCAGAGTACTGGCAACAAAGTAGCAGCTTGTCAAAATGGAAGTGTGGATGAAAATGTGTTTCAGTCATTTTTCAGTCCTGTCTGACTCTTCATGACCCCATTTGGGGTTTTCTAAGCAAAAATATTGGAGTGATTTGGCATTTCCTCCTCCAGTTCATGTTACAGATGAGGAAACTGAGGCAAACAGGCTTAAGTGACTTGCCCAGGGTCATACAACTAGTAAATGTCTGAGGCCAGATTTGAACTCAGGAAGATGAGTTTTCCTGACTTCAGGCCCTGCACTCTATCTTCTGCCTCACTTAGCATTACTATGTAGCAACACATTAGGAATATGAGGAATTCAGAGAAAAGTGGGAAGATTTGTATGAAATGACAGAAGGTGAAATAAACAGAACCGAAGGAGCAAAGTACATACTGCTGACAACAATGTGACTGAAAAGAATGTCAAGGTCTGTGTGAAATGAAAAACCGGTAACAGACCCAGAGAACAGATAATGAAAGAGGACTTTCTGCTCTTGACAGAAGGACAGGGGACAACTAGGGCCCAGTGGTTACTACTTTGTTGGATGCAGTGACTTTGTGGGGTGTTTTGCTTAACTGTGGTTTTTTGTTTGTTTGTTTGCTTTTGGTTTTGGTGTTTGTTTGCTTACCAAGAAGAGTTCAATTTCAAAAGGAAGGAAGGGGTGGTTCCCAGAAATGACTATGTTGCAAAAACAAAAAAATCAATATTTATTTTTTTAAAGTATTGTATGTTGGGCTCCAGAATGCGCAATTGAAAGGGAAGTCAAGAGATTAAGGGGAACAGCAGGATTTAGCTGGTTGAGCATGGGAGTAGGGGGAGAAGCATTAAAGGAGGATCATAGTAGAGCTAGCATTACAAAGGACCTCAGAGGTCAACTCCTTCCACCTTCTCATTTTATAGGTGAAGAAACTGAGACCCAAAGAGGTTAAGCTCTTGCCCATGGTCATACATGTCGTGGCCATTAGAGTCGGGATTCAAACTCAGGTTCTATGACTTTACTCCTCTTTCTACTCTATGACAGTCTCAAAATTCTATTCTATATCTGACTCTCACAAACAACAAAGAACTAGTGGCTGAGGTGGAAATCATGGGAGTATGGTAGGGAAATGATCACCTCATCTAGCAAATTGAGCTCAAAGGAGAAGAGAGCCAGCTAAGTTAAATCTTGAGAGAATAAATTTCAAAGGCCTTAAAGAAAGACCAAGGACAAAAATTCTAGAGGGAGTTTAAGACCAGGAGAGCTGGGAGATTCTTGTGTATGAAATTCTTTTTTTAAAAATTTTTTTTAAATTTTATTAATTGATTTTGATTTATCAACAATCACTTCCCTATGCTTTTGAGTTTAAAATTTGTCTCCCCCTTCCTCCCCACCACCCTCCCCAAGATGGTGCACGATCTGATATAGGCTTTACATTTACATTCCTATTAAACATATTTTCACATTAGTGAAGTTGTAAGTAAAAATTAAAACCAATAGGAGGAACCATCAGAAAGATGAAACAAAACTCAACAAAGGTAAAAATAAGTGATAGCAATTCGACTTCCATAGTTCTTTCTTTGGATGTGGACAGCATTTTCCATCCCGAGGCCTCTGGAGATGTCTTAGATCCTTGTAATGCTGAGAAGTTCAGTTTAACAATATTAGTCATCACATAATGTGGCTGTTACTGTGTACAAAGTCCTCTTGGTTCTGCTCATTTTACTCAGCATCAGACCATATAAGTCTTTCCAGGTTTTTCTGAAGTCAGCCTGTTCATCATTTCTTATAGCACAATAGTATTCCATTACATTCATATACCACAACTTGCTCAGCCATTCCCCAATTGATGGGCATCCTCTCAATTTCCAATTCTTTGCCACCACAAAAAGAGCTGCTATGAATATTTTTGTACATGTGGGTCCTTTTCCCATTTGTTTGATCTCTTTGGGATATAGCCCTAGAAGTGCTATTGCTGGATCAAAGGGTATGCACATTTTTGTAGCCCTTTGGGCATAGTTCCAAATTGTTCTCCAAAATGGTTGGATCATTTCACAACTCCACCAACAATGTATTAGTGTTCCAATTTTCCCACATCTTCTCCAACATTTATCATTTTCCTGTTTTGTCATGTTGGCCAATCTGATAGTGTGATGTGGTACCTCAGAGTTGTTTTGATTTGCATTTCTCTAATCAATAATGATTTAGAGCATTTTTTCATATGACTATAGATGGCTTTAATTTCTTCATCTGAGAACTGTCTGTTCATATCCTTTGACCATTTATCAATTGGGGAATGGCTTGTGTTCTTATAAATTTGTCTTAATTCTCTTATATTTTAGAAATGAGGCCTTTATCAGAGAGACTGGTTGTAAAAATTCTTTCCCAATTTTCTACCTTCCTTCTAATCTTAGTTGCATTGGCTTTGTTTGTGCAAAAACTTTTCAATTTAATGTAATCAAAATTATCCATTTTGCTTTTCATAATGTTCTCTATCCTGTTTGGTCATGAATTCTTCTGTTCTCCATAGATCTGATAGGTAAACTATTCCTTGTTCTCCCAGTTTACTTATGGTATCAGCCTTTATATCTAAGTCTGAACCCATTTTGACTTTATTTTGGTATATGGTGTGAGATTTGGGTCTATGCCTAGTTTCTGCCATACTCTTTTCCAGTTTTCCCAGCAGTTTTTTTCAAAGAGTGGGTTCTTATCCCAGAAGCTGGGGTCTTTGGGTTTATCAAATAATAGATTACTATAGTCATTGACTACTGTGTCTTGCATATTTAACCTATTCCACTGATCCACCTCCCTATTTCTTAGCCAGTACCAAGCAGTTTTGATGATTGCTGCTTTATAATACAATTTAAGATCTGGAATTGCTAGGCCACCTTCCCCTGCATTTCTTTTCATTAGTTCCTTTGATATTCTGGACCTTTTGTTTTCCAAATGAATCTTGTTATTATTTTTTCTAACTCTATAAAATAATTTTTTGGTAGTTTGATTGGTATGGCACTGAATAAGTAAATTAGCTTAGGTAGGATTGTCATTTTTATTATATTAGCTCGGCCTACCCATGAGCAACTGATGTTTTTCCAATTATTTAGATCTGATTTTATTTGTGTGAAAAGTGTTTTGTAATTGTTTCATAGAGTTCCTGGTTTGTTTCAGGAGGTAGACTCCTAAATATTTTATAATGTCTACAGTAAGTTTAAATGGGATTTCTCTTTCTATCTCTTGCTGTTGGGCTTTGTTGGTAATATATAGAAATGCTGATGATTTATGGGGTTTATTTTATAGCCTGCAACTTTGCTAAAGTTGTTTATTATTTCAAGTAGTTTTTTACTTGATTCTCTAGGATTCTCTAAGTATATCATCATGTCATCTGCAAAGAGTGATAGCTTTGTTTCTTCTTTGCCTATTCTAATGCCTTCAATTTCTTTTTCTTCTCTTATTGCTAAAGCTAAGGTTTCCAGTACAATATTGAATAACAGTGGTGATAATGGACATCCTTGTTTCACCCCCGATCTTATTGGAAATGCTTCTAGCCTGTCCCCATTACATATAATGCTTGCTGAAGGTTTTA